TCCCCGTCCCGGCTGGTGCTCTCCTCTTCAAACGCTGCGTAGAGGTAGGGGTTGTGAAGCTTGGCGCTGGCGATAATTCAGGTCCCCACCTTCTCCGTCCCGTCCCCGAGGTGCTGCTGCAAGGAAAAGGCTCAGGAAAACAGCTGGAGCAGCCGTAACGGGTTCGTCTCGTGTCTCTTTTCCAGCTGTTCCTGTATAACCATGTCGGCCAGAACGGCATCGGCACATCGATAGGTAAGGGGCTCCTCGGCGCAGCCGGCTCCCGTCACCGAAGGGCCGATGCTGCGGACTCACCTGCCCTTATTTCTCCTCTTGAGCTGGGCTCCCAGCCTGGGATTTGGGGGAGGGTGGTGCTGGATCAGCGTTCGCTGCCTGCTGGGTGGGATCTCTGGGGGAAAACGGAGATGTGCCGGCGACGGATGCGCGGGACGGCGATGGCCGCACATGGGCCAGGGATGATGGACTTAAAGATTTCATCTCTTCCTGGGTACCTCCGCGGCCGTCTCCCTCCTCGTAGCGATGCTGATCATCTGCGGCGCTCTGGTTAACGGGCCCTACGCCCTCATCACGACAGCGGTTTCGGCAGATTTGGTAAGAGGCGCAGCTCGGCCCCCGCCACGCTGCCCTTGCACGCCCAACGGCTGCTCCCTCTTTCCCGGAGGGATGGTTTGCTGGCATTTTTACATTTTAGCTTTGTTTTCCTGTGCCTCTGAAGCCCAGTGGAGACGGGCAGGGCTGTTGCACCTCGTGACTCTGCTTTGGCCCTGTGGCATCTCCCTCTAAGTGCAATCAGAGCGGGAAAAATGTGCTGGGAAATCACCTGGGATTGCTGCTGGCCATTGGCGATCCCGGTTTTGCTGTGGCTTGGCTGCAGGCAGAGTCTGAGTTCAGTCCACGCTGGGTCCGACGCACAGCAATTGCTGCCCGGGGTGTGAGCGGCCTCATGCTCGGACTTGCCGGCTGCAGACCCTGAAGCTGCTTTTCCTCCTTAAGTTTTGCTCCTCCATCCCTGCAGGGAACCCACGAGTCTCTCAAAGGAAACGCCAAAGCCCTTTCCACTGTCTGTCATGTCCACCATGTAGGGCACGGGATCCATAGGTCCGTACAGCTGGGGGACGCCAAGCGCCGATTTCCCCCGGCGCTGGGGGGTCCTGACCCCCTCTTCCCCGTGCGCAGGGCAGCTCCTAACGAGCCTCCTGTGCCCTCGCAGGTGCCGCGCTAGGGCCGCTGCTCGCAGGGCTCATCTCCCCCACCGGCTGGAATAACGTCTTCTACATGTTGATAGCAGCCGACGTCTTGGCTTGCCTGGTAGGTCCCCCCCGGCAGGAGCCACTTGGCTACCCTGGATATTCAAGGGCTCCCTTTT